CACTTTGCCTCTATCTGCCTCAGTTTCTCCATCTATAAGATGGGGAGAATAAGGGCACCTCCCTCCCAGGATGGTGGGCTTTGCCATCCCTTACAACGCCATATGATGCTAACTGCTGTTGTTTTTCTTTTAGGATAATTATTCCTCTGGCCTTAAGGTCTGGCTCCAAGCTATCTTTCCCCAATGAGTCCACACAGTATGTACATAACTCCCCCCATCAAAACATTCCTCCTTGGTACCACTAGCAAAAGTCATTTTTGCCTTTCTGAGGACTATTCTGTCCTCTGAATCTGTCTCCACAGGGCTTGGCAGAGTGCCTCTCACATGGTGAAGCCACAACCAATTCCATTTTCATTCATCCACTGGCTGAAAAAATTTCAAGACTGGTAGGTAGATGATGGAGAAGAAACTGTAGGTCCAGTAAGCCCAAAATTCAGAAAAGCATTTGACAAATTTTCTCAAAGAAGATAAAGAGGTATGGGCTAGATAACTACAGCTAGGTAAGACAGTGCTTAGAACGTTAGGCCTGGAGTTGAGAAGATCTGAGGCCAAATCCGGCCTCTGACACTTGCCAGCTGTATGACCCTGGGTACGTCACTTCACCTTGTTTGCCTGAGATTCCTTATCTGTAAGAGGCAGATAATAATAGCATCTACCTTCCAAGATCATTATTGATCAAATGAGATAATAATAGTAAAGCGCTTCGTCCTGGGCCTGGCACACAGTAAGCGCTATATAAATGTTGGCTATTATTGGTCAAAGCCAATTGAATAACTAAAACCACAGAGCAGACGTTAATGGTTCAGTGTCGGTGGGGCAGGGGAAGTCTCTACAATGGCCCTGTGCCACGTAACTAGAATGAAGCCAAAGAAGAAGCCCTCCTCAGGCTCACTTATACAGCAAAGACACTAAAGTTGGAACAACACAGAGAAGGTGAGCACGGATGTGCTGAGCCTTGTGCCAGGATTCCACTCAAAGCCATGAATTATTCTGCATTTTTCTGTTACATTTCAGCAATCAAGATCTCAGACAAATCAAAAGAAAAAACAGACCTAACTAAAACAGATAATCAGAGAAACTACACTTTGCTAAAAGTTACCAAAGACAACAAATTAATATCACTACTAAACAAACATGTACCAAATGTATCTAAATTCCTAAAGGAAAAGTCATATATGAGTTCCAGGAAAGAATAAACAGTGGCACTAGAATAGTGGGGGAATCCAATTTACCTCTCTCAGACCTAGATAAACTGAACCAAAAAAAAATAAACAAGGAAGAAGGACCTCAATGGAATTTCTGAAAAGTTAGACAGGCTAAACCTCTGGAGATTACTGAACAGGAACAGAAAGAAGTACACCTAATTATCAGCTGTATGTGGCACAGTTACAAAAACAGACCACATACTAGAACATAAAAACCTCACAAACGCAGAAAAGAAGAAATACTAAATGCCTTGTTATCAGCCATAATGCAATAAAAATAACATTCAATAAAGGGCCTTTGAAGCACAGATTAAAAATTATTGGAAACTAATTAACTCAATCCTAAAGAATGGGTGGGTCAAAGAACAAATTACAGAAACCATCAATAATTTTATTAAGGATAATGACAACAATGAGTCAACATACCAAAATTTGTGGGATGTAGCCAAAGCGGTAATTAAGGAAAAATTTATATCTCTAAAAGGAATGCTTCCCATATTTGCTGATGACTTAAAAGTTGAAGCTAATCGGACTAAATAACATGCTGAATGACAAGTTCCAAAAAGATCTCAAAAGGCAAGAATGGATCAGATTTAATAATATGAAAATTTTAAAATAAATGTAAAATTCTAGATTTGGCTTAAAAAAAAGAGACATTGTATTGCAGTGTTTTAGAAAAGGGCATTGCATTTCTTGTCTGTAAATTGATGGGTGTATGTGCACTAGTCAAAGTTGTAATCTCTTGACTGACTTCCCTCACCCTCACCTGGCATATCTAATCAACTATCCGATGCTGTTGGGTCTATCTGAACTTCTTATCTTGCTTTCTTCACTGGCTCCTTTCACTTTAGGATCTTATCTCTTCTAATCTAGAGGACCAGAAAAACCACCTAACTGTTCTTCCTTCTCGTCTGTCTCCAATCCATCTTTCAAACTGATGTCCAAGTGAGCCTCCCTGCCAAAAACCCTTCAGTCCTTTCCTACTGCCTACAGAAAAATGTATAAATGCCTAATCCTTGAATTCAAAGACTTTCACAATCTGGCTCCAGTCTGTATTTCCACACTTATCTCATGTAGTCTAGGTTCCAGCCAAGGCGACTTGTTCCATTTTTACAAAGTTTTCCATTAGGAAATTTTTCCATACCACAAATCTAAGTCTGCAGCTCTACAAAATTCTCCATTCACAGATCTACCCTCTGGGGCCAAACAGGACAACACAACAGCTCTTCAGCTGTGTCGGTGGAATGAATGAATGAATGAATGAATGAATGAATGAATGAATGAAGACTTATTAAGCACTAGCTACGGACAAAGCACTGTTCTAAGGGCTGTGGAGAAGAAAGTCGGATGGTCTCTGCTCTCCAAGATCTCACATGATCTAACGGTGGAGAGAACACAGATGGGGGTTCCAACTGTAAGTCAGATGGAAAAGTCCCATAGTCCTTAGGGCTGGGCAGCAAAGCAGATGGTAATGAGGCCTCTTCTTTCATGTCATTTCCACTGATACAATCCTATCAGTTTCTGATGATGAATCATGTTTCAGGGTCAAGCACTTCCTTCTCTGGGTCTTCAGTAGCTGTGGCTGCAGCCCCTGCTGTAGAGGACAGGACAGGGGCACTGGAAGGGGTGGGGGGGGGTTTCTGACCTGCCTGGTACAAGCCACCTTCTGCCCTTCCCTCAGACTGCCCTACTGCTTCAGCGAGGCTGCCCTGGCTGCCCTGTGGGGACAGCTGACCTGTTCTTTCCCTGGATAATGGTTGTGAGGGCTAGGCTAGAAGCAGAACCACTGGAATGGGGGGAGCCACCACACCCAGGACCTCTGTGATTTTCTATGTCTGTTGATGGAAAGTGGGCAGCAATTGCTGCTGGAGGTAATGGGGAAGGCAGGCCCCCTTCTCTACAATGATGGTTCCCAGGATTGGGTTGGTAGCAGGTCTGGTGGTCTGGGGGCGCTGCTATTCCCAAGGCTCGTGGGTTCAGGGTCTAGTCCTAGGCTGCCTCCACTGGTGGTCTAAGGGGAGATGATGGTGGTGGTTGTGGTAGTCTGACTGCCTGGCCCGAGATCTCCCCCTCAGGATGCTCCGCTATCTGTTGAATTCAAAGATTTAAGGCTGGAAGGCCCGAGAGGCATCTCATCCAATCCCCTCCTCTTCTATATGAGCAAACAGGATCTGAGGGGTGCCTGGTGGCACAGCCCAGGACTCAACCACAGGCCCTTCAGCTCCAAATCCTACAGTCTTTCCTCTGTACCTCGGTGCCTCTAGGGCTCAATTCATCTTTTTCTTATTTTAAGATATATATCAGCCACCACCTTGGTTCAGGCTCTCATTCCCTCCTACCTGAATTAATGCAATGGCCTACCTCAAGTCTCTCCCCACAGAGATTCCAAGTCTGACCATGTCACTCCCCTCTCCTCCATAACCTGCAATGGCTCCCTATTGCCCCCAAGATAACATATAAGCTCCACAGCTTGGTTCTAGAAGCCTGCCACGAGTCCTGAGTGGGCCATTCTGCATTACTCCCCTTCCAGCAGTCGACAATCCCTCCTTTCTGTCTATTCAGCATTCTGCTCTATAACTCCTCACCTCCCTGCCCAGAATGGCTTCCCTCCCTCTCAGCTCTGCCTCACAGAATCCTACACTTCTTTCAAGACACTCTGGAGCACCTTCCCTATGAATTCCTGCCTGATCCCCCAAGGGCTTGTGCCCTCCCCACAACTACCACACATTCAGCGTTCCGCACTTATCTTATGTCCATTCTGTGTAGATTGATCCTCTGAGGTGATGAGAGGTAGCCTGGCTTAGCGGTTAGGGAGGCGGCCTCAGAGCCAGGAAGACCTGGATGTGAGCTGCACCTCGGACCCAGAATGGCTGTGTGACCCTCTCAGTGCTTTGGGAAAATCACTGATACTCTAGTTTGCAGAGAAGGTGCCAACCTGGGTGAGAAGTTTCCTCCCTCAGGAATTATCAGGACATGGGAGCTGAAAGAGTACAGACAGAGTCTGGGCGTCCCCCAACATTAGTGGGCACAGCCTGGATGAAGATCCAGCAAAGGAGGTTGAAAAAGAGGAGTCAGACAGGTCCAAGGGGAACCAAGAGAGAACAGTAACAGGAAATCCTAGGGAGAAGAGAATCTCCAGGAAAAGATAACAGGGCCAAAGACTACACAGAGGTCGACAGAAGAGGACTAAGAAAAGTCCCTCGGATCTGGCAAGCACGAGATCATCGGTAACTGTAGAGATCACGGGTTCTGTGGAAGGATGAGGTCTGGAGACAGACTGCTAAGACTCCTACAGCTCCAGGTATTCCCCTGAAACCAGCCTGGCTCCCAGAGTCAGAGGTCCCAGGATTCTGGGAGCCAGAGCTAGGGACCCCCAAAGAGCCAAAGGGCAGGGACTGTTGAGCTGTCAGCTCCCACAGACAGTAGAAGATGCCACGGGCAGCAACCCTGAGCTCCACAGCCCAGGGCAGGAGGAGGAAGGCAGGGGATAGCGGCAGTGGCCATCTGGTGAGAAGGCTGTCTCCAAATCAGCCCTTCTAAGCAGAGAACTTCCTGCGTTCCACCTATCCCTACATGCTTTCTACGAAAGTGTAAACACGGCTCTGCAAGGAAACAGACGGGCCGTGCAGACGCGGAATGGCCAAGCAAATGCAGGCTCTGTTCTTGCTGCAGATGTCTCCCCGCTCGATCCAAAGCAGCATATGGAGACTGAACGTTCAGAAGAGTTGAGGGTCCGTCTAAGAGAAAATCTTACATACATACAAATGCAAGTTCCAAATCGTTGCGTTCACTCACCTAAAGCGGGGTATCCCAGGTAAAACCTGTCTGCTCCCAACCAGCCAAGGAAGAGAGAGAGCGCCACTGCCACGCGGTAGGAATAGCCGTTTCTGCCAGAAAACAAAAACCAAGAGTCAAAGACTAATATTTCCGAGAAGCAAATGGCATTTTGAAATCATATTGTTAAATAGTATAATTAAAATGGTCTGTGAATCAAAATAAACTGGGCTCTAGTTAAATATAAGTATTTAAACTACTTGGCCCATTTCTAAAAGTAGATTCTTATTGGTCAGCTAGAAATACATGCTTTTCAAAGCTACTCAGCCAAAACAGAACATAGTATGCCATGCACACAGTAGGTCATTAATAGAAAAAATTCTGATAAAACTTAGTATAGTTATAATTTAATAATAATTAACAATGGCAGGTAAAGATAAAATCCCAATACAATGTCTGGTTGAAAAAGCTTTGGCATAACAAAGATCATAGAACGAGCCCATGCCACCACTGGATTCCCTCCTCTCCCTCCCAGCCCCCGCCATAATTCTTCCCATTGAACACTCAAGTTTCCTTCTGCCATTTTCCAAAGCTCCCCTGCTTCATCTCCCTTTGCCCTCTGGTCCATCCACCTGTGTCCTGTGTCCAGTTCCTTCCCCTTCCTCCAGGCCCTGCTCCAGCAGTTGTCCTTCCTCTCCCCTTCCTCTTCGATCTCTCCCTCTTGATGGGTACCTTCCATCACCCCACAACTGTGCTCAGAGCATCCAAAAGCTTTAAAAAAAAACTTCTATCTCATCTGTCTCTTCCCTTTCCCTGATAAACTTGACAATCTGACCTACATCCAATCTCCACTCTTCTCAACCCCTTACAATAAAGCTCTGACCCTCAATCTCCACCATATTGAGACTGCACTCTCCAATAACGTCAAGAAACCCAATGGCCTTTCTTCAGTGTCCACCTTCCTCGATCTTCCCCCAGTGCCGGACACTCAGCTGACAGTGCCCCATCTATTTGTATGCATCCTTTATTTACTTACTTGTGAACATCCTGATTGGCCCAAGGGACGTAATATCCCTGAGGTCCAGGGCCAGAATCTCACTTTTGTTTCTGTATCTCTAATACCCAGTACAGTACCTGACATACGGCAGACCATTTAAAAACACTTATTGAATATTCTCTATTGCAATGGTTTCTGAGACACCACCCACCCGTATTCTCTTTCTGCTCCGCTGACTCCATTCCCCCCCTCCTTAGGAATGTGCCCCCAAGGCTCTATCTTCGTCCTTTTTCCCCCCTCCCTTAAATTAACCACAAGCATGCTTCTGCTCTCTCTTCCTAACCCTGCTCTCTTCTGACTCCACAGTCTGTGGAATCTATCACAGATTGCCAGTGATGATGAAGTCCTGAGCAAGAAACAAGATCACAGAGGCACAGGCCATGGTTCCCCCGCTGTTGCCCACTGAAGGCAAGGGATGCAGAAGAGAAAAAGTAATTTGGGAAGTGAACAGCTGGCTGAGAAGGTGGGGTCTGAGAACTGGAGGTGGATTTTCTGAATCACAGATCCAGAATTCCTGGCCAGAATGGAGCACACATAACAAAGGCTGATCAGAACACATCTAGGGGTCTGGAAAACCTAGTCAACAGGACCTTAAACTACAAAGACTTGGGGAGGGAGAGGAATGCCTACCTCTATCCACAAAGAAGGAAGAAAGCAGCTGGGACACCCACAAATTCACAGAAGAAAAAAATCCAAAAAAAGGAGCAGTACCAAAACTCACAAGCCTTGACGTTTACATACAAATGTTCAAAGTATAGGCAATAAGCAAGAGGAAATAGAAGTCTGAACGCAATGGGATAATTCTGACCTTGTAGCCTTCCCTGGGGCAGCTAGGTAGCGCCATAGTGCACAGAGCACGGCTCTGGAGTCAGAGCATCCAAAAGACTCCTCTTCCTGAGTTCAAATCCAGCCTCAGACACTTCCTAGTTGTGTGACCTTGGGCAAGTCACTTCACCTCATTTGCCTCAGTTCATCTTCTGTAAAATGAGCTGGAGAAGGAAAGGGAAAACCACGCCAGTATCTCTGCCTAGAAAATACCCAATGGGGTCAGAGAGAGTCAGACGTGACTGAAAAACTATTCAACGTCTTTTGGTTTCAAGTCCGGCTCAAGGTTGAACAAGAGTCCTCTCTCTGATGCTCCTAGTCCAGCTGGTGTCTGGAGACCTCCCTTAAGTGGCTGCTCATTCACAAGTCTTATTGCAATGTGGTCGGTTTTATGGGGGCATGGAGTTTTATCTCAAAAACCACCGGAAGCAATTTTTAGACAGAAATTGCCATTCTGACTAGCATACGCAAAGAATCTTTAGTACTGCAAAGACTCAAATGACGATCTTGAACGCCCGTTCTTGGGAAGACAGGAAGATGAAACGACCCCAAAAGCCACTTCACTTAGGGAGCTACATGGGTAACGAGCATGGACCCCAAGGTGCTTCGATCACTTTGCTTACGTTCCTCTCCAACGGGGTCAAATGTATTCGATGAAAGTGCTTCTGATGCACGTGCATCTGTGTGCGCTGCTACGTCACAGTTACAGGCATATAAAAAGCAGGTGAGGTGGAGGGAGCTCAAAAACCCAGGGACACCAATCAAGTGTGTGCACTTGTACCCGAGGGCTCGCAGGCACTCGATCCTCAAGCCCTGTCAGGTTTTCTAAGCTCTTCACAGTAACCGTCACATCCTCGTAGTTCTGCAGGGATGCATAGGATGGCATCTGTGCTGGCTAGCACGTGATGTGAAGGCAGTCATGACGATCACTGGAGGCTGTTTACATGAACCTTGGGTCTGGTGTTTTGGAACATCTCCGACAGACGGAACAGCTGGCACTCAGCATCACTTCGTAGACCTTCCTTTAGAACGTCTACATTGACTCCCAACTTCTCTCCAATGCCGAACTTTCCTTAATATCATCCAAACCATTCATTTGCCACACTTATTTAACACCTGTAAACTTCCTTTCAAACTAGCATAAATCACCTTGCATTTCACGATTTCCGAGTACCAATACGAGGTAGAATGTGGCATCATACAAATCCTACCAGCCACCATTCAGGGGCAGCAACTTCACAAAAGACAGGCAGGGGTCGTCTCCAGTATCACCAATGTGAAGTCACCCACTGAGATCTGCTTTCCTTCCTCCGCCATCACTCAAACAGAAGAGAAGGCTCTTTCTCTTTTTGCATCTCCTCTTGTGTTGATGTCCTTCCTTTGATGTCATTAGATGCCTGGACTTCATTCTCAGTTACTCCGGAACCACAGCGCCCAAGACAGTGGAGGCTGGCTGCCCACTCACTGACTCATCAAGGTCTTTGTCCTGTCAGCGTCCTATGAACTGGTAGTGCGCTGAGCTTCCTCCATGTCTATCCAATCCAATGAAGGCATCTACCCTTTCTCTTTAATACGTCATCTCGGTGGCCTCAGGTCAGGGTTCAAGCTTCCCAAGGCTTCTGTCATTTCTGGGATTAGTCATCCTTCCTACCCCTGTGACCCCTGAAAATGGGATGAGGAGCCCAGTAAGAAATGTTGTGTGACTCCACGTGACATCTGAAAGCTGGAAGTTCCCCAGCATTTTTCCCATAACCACCACAGCATTACAAAATGAGGGTCAGAAGCTGGGACCACCTAGTCCGGCCCAGAAGTGTTCGAGAACCACACAACAAGCCAAAGACTGTCTAACTTCTCCTTAAAGATCCAATGACTATAATACGTCACCTGCCAGCTCAGCTGCTCCTTGCACCCACATGACCCAGAAAGAGCCACACCAGCGCCTGGGCCTCCCTTTCCCCATCTGTGTCAAAGGAGGGAGTTGGAATGGGTGACCCCAGAGGTCCCCTACAGCTGATGATCCCATGGCCTTACCCAAGAAGATGCAGCTAAAGAGTGAATCCAAAGCGGATGAGGAAACCTCAGAAACCAGGGGGCGAGTCCTCAGTGGAAGTCTTCCCCATGGGCGGGATGGCCACTCACTGGGATGTGCAGTGGAGAGGACTTTTTTGAGGATGTGGCTGGCTCCATAAATCCTTCCAACCCTGGAAATGCATGTGCGTGCATGCGTGTGACCGTACATGCCGTGTATGGAGCAAAAGCTAATGTTTCCTCCTTATAAAACTAACACACTTCTCATTATGTCATGCTAGACATATCCTCATGACATCTTGGGTCTGATTTTCAGGGCAGCAGTTTAATTAAAGTCAACCAGAAAAGAGGATAAAGGCCTTGGTTTTTGCAGAGCAGGAGAGGGGAGGATCCTGCAGGTATGCTGAAGAGTTGACTTCAGCCCCCCACTGAGGCCGTGAAGCTAGAAAGGCCACCAGGCGAATGAAAGCATCTATGATCTAGTACTCACTACTCTCACTACTAACGAGAAACACCAAGCAGAACCCAATATAAAATGTTTCCTAAGTCCCATTAGTTCTACATGTCTTCAATGTCACTAACATGCTTTTGTCCTGAAAAGCACATGGTGCCAGGTCCCTGAACCAGAGCCTTATGAGGCAGTCATCCTGGGAGTGGGGCTAGATTCATATTATTCTCCATCAATGACACTTACTTTAGGAAACTTTTTCCATGGACAGGTGTCCAAAGGAACATTCAGCAATGAACTCAATGCGCAAACAATTATTAAACTGACCATTTCCACTTTGGTTCATTCATACAATTTATAGGATAGTTTGCATTTCAAACACTGAAGTTATTTTGTACAAAGGAATATGGTAAAGTCCTTCAGTGCGGTTGTATCCCAAAGAGATCATACAAATGGGAAAAGAACCCCCATGTACAACAATGTTCGTAGCAGCTCTTTTTGTGGTGGCAAAGAATTGGAAATTGAGAGGATGCCCATCCATTGGGGAATGGCTGAGCAAGTTGTGGTATATGAATGTAATGGAATACTATTGTGCTGTAAGAAATGATGAACAGGCTGACTTCAGAAAAACCTGGAAGGACTTGTATGGTCTGATGCTGAGTGAAGTGAGCAGAACCAAGAGAACATTGTACACAATAACAGCCACGTTGTGTGATGACAAATATTGATAAACTTAATCCTTGTTAGCGATACAAGGATCTAAGACATCTCCAAAGGCCTCATGATGGAAAATGCGATCCACATCCAAAGAAAGAACTGTGGAATTTGAATGCAGATCGAAGCAGACTATTTGCTATTTTTTTTTCTGTTGTATTTTGTTTCCTCTTTCTGGTGGTTCCTCCTATTGGTTCTAATTCTTCCTTACAACATGACTCATGTGAAAATAGGTTTAACAGGAATGTGTACATATAGCCTATATCAGACTGCACACCATCTTGGGGAGGGAGGTGGGAAAGGAGGGGGAGAAAAATTTAAAAATTTAAAATTCAAAAGCTTATGGAAGAGATTGTTGATAAGTAAAAATAAATTAATTTTTTTAAAAAGTCCCTCAGTGCAAAGAGAAGAGCAAGCATCACATGTGGACCCCAAAGAACTGAGTTCAAATCCTGGTTCTGCCCTTATAACCACATGGCTGTGGCTGGGTCCCTTCCCTCCGCTGGGCCCCACTTCCCTCATCTATAAAATGACAAGGTCCCTCCCAGCTCTCCATCCAGGATTCCATGACTTGAAATCACCTTGCCTCCTTGACCTTTGAGTTAGATGAGGGGTTTGGACCAAATGACTTTTAACGGAACTTCCAGGGCTGAATTTATGATCCTAAGTCCCATTAGTTCTACATGTCTCCCCTAAGTTAATTCTTCTTCCTCACACAATCAAGATGTAATTATTAGTCAAATAATTTTGAGATGAAAACTCAGGTAAATGTTTTACTTACACATTACGGCAAGGTATGGTCTTGAAAAAACCAACTTCATTTCCAGTAAAATGGGTTTCGTTGCCGCTAAAATCCTTACAAGTTATGTTGGGTGCTGGGTAACATGATGCTAAAGGAAGAAAAAGCCAAGAAACAATTATCTTTTCTACAAGCAAACAGGCTTTGTAATGACACAACACTCTTGCTCAACAGTCTGGAGAAGGGCAAGTACTTCCCTCAAACTAGTGAAGATGTTCTTTCTGTAGACCACTGGGCATATGGTGATGGTTTAGTTATGAAATAGACACTCAAAGGTATCCGAATTAGCAAACGTTTATCTAATATCTACTGTGTACAAGGCACCATGCTACCAAAGTGAGAATAAGGAGTCCCCTGAAGTGGTCCCATGTACTTGGATTCACACTATTTGAAATGATGATTATACAAAATATGGTCACTGGTTCCAGCTCAGTGGAAATATGCAGTGCAACCCTTCATGGGATTCACTGTTTGATCTAATCTGCACCTTGGACCTCCCTGTACCCCTTTCTTTAAGTTTACATTCTACCAGAACAGAGGTTCTTAACCTGGGGTCTGTGAATTTGGCAGGTGAAAAAGTTACATCTTCATTTCACTCTAACTGGATTCCCTTGTAATCCTCTATCTTTTATCTAATGCATTTAAAATTAGGATTCTAAGAAGGCACCATCACGTTCATGTGATGCCAAGAATGCTAAGAATCCCAGTATTAGGAGGACACAGCATAAACACAAATTAGTAAATACATGGCCATTTGAGGTGGGAGGAGGCATTAACAGATGGAAGGACTCAAACATATCTTGTATTGATCTGACTGTAGCCAGGTTCATCCCCACTCAGAAGTCATACTGCTAGAATGAGATCTTTTTGAAAGGACAAAATTATACACAGGACCATCTATTACAATTCTATTTCACGTAAACTGGGTCTACGATGAATCGTAACGCTGATCATAAGCCACATCTGGGGGTGAGGCAGAATAGGGGCCCACAGGGATGCCAGTATGTCACAGTGACATCCAAGCTTATGCAAGTTTAGTCGTTAACACATCTCTTTGTCCCCATACCTATCACTCTGCTACTATCACTGCAAGAACAGATGGAAGTCACACAGGACTGTAGCGCATTCTGTCTCTTTCTTTGCCAGCTCACTGGTGATAAGCCTCTCCCTGCTCAGAGTCTGGTCCTTAGAAAGCAAACAGCCTATTGGGATAACAGAATCACAGAAGGGATCTCGGAGGCCAGCAAGTTGAACCTTATTTTACGGACAATGGGACATACAAGGGACTTGCTGAAGGTCACAGAACCACAGATCTAGAGCTGCAGAAGCCCTGGAGGCCATTTAACCCAATCCCCTCATTCTACCGTTGGGATCACGAAGCTGTGACAACGTGACGAGCCTGGCAGGGCTCAAAAGTGATAAGGGTCACTCCCATGCTTTGACACCATTTATTAAGCTCCTACTATGTACCAAGCACTGAACCAGGCACTGGAGATACAAGGACAAAGGCAAAACAGTCCATGTTCTCCAGGCGCTTAATTCTATACCATGAAGAGGCATCAGAGGATTCTATGTTTTTTCCTAAACACAGTTTAAGTCTCCTCATATTTTCAGCCCCTAAAACTTCTAAGGAGGTTTTTTTTTAAAAAATCATTCCCACCTACACGAAATACTTTTTGTATGTTTTTAATTTACCACTTCAATATTTCAGGAATCGATAAACAAATCCGGGTTTTCTCCTTAATGATACTCTTCATGATATTCCAGGCTCTGGTGATTGCCCTTCATCATTCTAGTATTTTTACTATTGTCATACAGCAACCCCTTCCCTACCCCTTTTCCCCAACTCCTTTGATCATTTTATTTGAGCTATCTAGCTCTCACATTGCGTAATGGCAAGGGAAAGGAAGGAAAGCCCCCAGCACACAATGGCCCCCTCATGTGAGACTGACAGGAGATGGACAACAGAAGGAGCAACCACTTACGACTCGCCACTGAAGGGAATACTATGGAGGCGAGATCCCAGACCCACCTGACTAGTCGAGCATCCAGGTCTATTACATCATTCTTCGGGGGGGGGGGCGCAATCTGAACGTGCTCTACACGGTAATGACCAACCTTGGCCCCAGAGAAGACAGAAGAAACTGGCCCTCCTCTGTTCTTTGCAGAGATGGAAGACTACGGATAGGGAATCCTATCGGCACTGTCAGAATGTGCTGCTAAGTTTCCTCAAACTGCTTCTTTCCTCTTTTTTGGATGGCTCACAGGGTAGGAGAGCAGGAGGGCTAGATTCACAAATGAAAGTGATATAAAAAAATATACAGTAACAACATTCTTTAAAACTGTGCTCTAGATGTGACAGCGTAGTACAGAATGGGAGGAGGGGAAACCTCGGTTGTGTTTCCATTTCTCTCCTGAGGGATTTCCTGATACACACTGTAGTTGCACCGTAGGAGTACGTGGCAACGTCGTCTCACTGTAGTCTATGACAACCTGCAAGTCCCCTTTCTGGGTCATAACTGAAAGCTCAGAGTCCTTCAGTCAACAAACATTAGCTGAATACCTACTATGTGCCAGGCACTATGCTAAGCACTGGGGATACAAAGGTAAAGGACAGCACTTGTTCTAAAGGAGCTCACAACCCAGAGGGGACAACATACAAATAACTACGTATATGTACGAGTCATAGACAGGATAAATAGGAACTAATCAGCTAACGTCCCATCAACCTAAAATATGTAATTGCTTTTCTCCAAAAGCATCCCCACAAAGTCATCTGCCACACCACTCTGCAATCTCTTCCTAGAGTCTTTTGCAAGCCAATTACAAGAAGGTGATGCTACAATACAAATACTCAAATGATTTGTTCCATTTGGGGCTAGGATCCAGTAGACCCTGAAGAACAGAAATTCATTCTCTCTGTATTTCCAACAGAGAAAGTTCCACCATATTTATAAGTTGGGAGAAGGGATGGCTCTAGCCTGTGAGTCACTGGTAGAGGCAATCCCTCCCAAGGAAACTGTCTCTCCCAACGCAGAGTCAGCTGCTCGGGATTCAGAGCGGACAAGTAATAGTCATATGGTGTCAGAGATTGTCCTAACTCAGAGGCTGGGTCTCCATCTACTACCAAGCTGCTACATTTTCCAACTCTAAGATCCATCAACTAGCAGAAGAGCCCACACATTGACAATTTAGATTTTATTTAAATCAATATTTGTCAAGTTCCTGCTTTCTGCTCTGCGTGCTTTACTGATTAGAAAGTAGGTGACAGAGCCCTGCCCTCTAGGAACTTAGGAGCTCTGGAAAGGTAAGACAAATACAGCAAGTGAGATGCTAGACTGGCTAATGATACAGGGTTAGGGGTATAACGGGTACCCAGAAGAATTTCTGCTCTGAGTGTGCCAAGGGACTACTTACTAAGAGTAGGCAAGAGAGACAGACAGGCAGTGGTCAATCACTAGCAGCACCACTGCTAAAAAATTCATGTGACTTGCTTTATTGCAATAGTCTGGAACTGAACCCACAATATCTCTGCAGTATAACTGTAAGGTGAAAGGTTTAAGTGTATTTGTATCCAAGGTGAAGTAAGTGAAAAGGCCTAAACAGAAGGATATTTTATGTTTTTCTCTTAGACCTCTAAGCTTACACTAAGAAAGGAGCTTGAGCTCGGAGTCAGCAGTCCTGGATTTAAGCCCTCTCTAATCTAGTATTCAGTTGTGTGCTATCAGGTAAAGGCATGTAACTTTCATCTCCCTCAATTTTCGCCACCTCTAAAAGGGAACTAGCTAATGCTACCCAAGGCCTGACAAAGATGAGGAAGATTGAAAGTTATCATCTCCTTCCAGACTCTCTTTCCTCTCTGGTCTTTATGACTCTTTTCTCTCCAGGGTCTCCTATCTTTCTAACCATTTTCTCAGTGTTCTTTAGTGCCCCTTCTTCCCTGTCACATCCACTAAACCTGGGTGTCCCCCCAGACCCTACCCTGGGCTGCCCTCTTCTCTCTTCCCCCTCAACACTTGGTGACTTCATCAACTCCCATGGGCTCTGTCATCTCTATACAGATGACGCCGCCTAGATCTATACAGCCACCCCCAGCCTCTCTCCTGAGCTCCAGTCCCACATCACCAACTCTCTTGGACATCTCAAACTCAACATGTACAAAACAGAATGTATTATCTTCCCCCAAAAAAACCCTCCTTCTCTCTTCCAAAATGTCCTATGGCTACTGAGGCCACTTCCATCCTCCAGGTATCTGAATTTAAAACCTTAGTGTCAGCCTCAACTCCTTCCTCTCACTCATCCTACAGATGCAACCCATTGCCAAATCTTTTCAAGTAATAATGCTTAATTATTGAATTGATACAAAAATAAAAACAAAAAAGAAATGAGAGTCATTGTAGCATTTGTTTAAAATGAACAGAAAGAGGTAAAAGAGATAAGTATAGGCAGGAAAGGATATAGAAGGTATAATTTTGAAAAAAAAACACAAGCTGTATTTTATAGAGAAGCTAGGTTTCATATGTATTCCTTCGTTTCTGTTTTTCTACATATGTAGAAATATTTGTGTCTACTGCTGCTTGCCAAGTTAATAAAATTTTATTTTAAAAAGTAATACCATTGGAGCAGCTAGGTGGAGCAGTGAATAGAGCTCTGGCCTTGGAGTCAGGAGGACCTGAGTTCAGATCCAGACTCAGACACTTAACATTTACTAGCTGTGCGACCCTGGGCAAGTCACTTAACCCCAATCACCTTACCAAAAAGAAAAAAAAAAGATTAAAAAAAAGTAATAAGCCCACATTGATGAGACTATAGGATAAAACACAACAGATACAAGAGCTACAAAAAGCTTTAAAAATAACACCACATTCAAGATCTCCCTTTTGTCTACAATGGAATGTCACTACCCTTCCATAAGGTCAGGCAATTATTCACCTGATGGGAATCATAAACAAACGGCCATGGGCTCCAAGATGCCAGTTCACATGTTGGGGACCCTCCCTCGTACAGAGGAAGAGTGGTGAGACAACCCTCAGGACGAGCTTGCTGCAGCTCGAGCCTGGTCTCGATCACTAAAGAGGCAGAGGCTGGACC